ATTAATGCAATTATTTGCGTGAGGGCATCGTTGGATTACTGAATTTGCAACGTGTAATCTTTGTTGATCTTTTATCTTTCTATCTACTAGCATAACAATGAGTGCATAGATCGAACCTAAATGGATGTAATTAATTAATTGAGAACTTACCTGGAAAGATAGCAAATATTGATAAAACTATACAAATAGCCATTTGGCTATCACATTTATTAGTGTACATATATAGCCCTAGAGGAGGAAGCAAAATTGTCATTATGCAACAACAGAAAAAATACATCGCTTAGTTATGATTTGGTTTTAAAAAAAATAATCTGCTTCAGACAAATACATGTTTTAATTAAATAAATACGTGTTTTATTTTTTTCAATTTTTTTTTTTTAGAAAAATAAATACTTTATTTTTTACCAATTTTTTCGTTCTGATGAGAATAAACAATTGTTTTTATTGCAGTGCACCAGTCTATCCTGGACATGGAATTTTATTAGTTCGTAACGATTCAAAAAAATTTATTTTTTGTAGTAGTAAATGTAAATCACACTATAAAGTTAAGCATAATCCTAGAAAATCTAAGTGGACTAAGGCGCACAGAAAAGCCGCAGGAAAAGAATTACTCAATGATCCGATTTTCGCTTTCGAAAAAATTAGAAATACTCCAGTTCGATACAACAGAACTTTGTATCAACAAAACATAAAATCTATGCGAATTATTAAATTGATCAAGGAAAAAAGAGTTGAACGATTCTTCTTGCAGCGCATGCGGGCTGCTGAAGAACGACACACTCCTGCTATGCTAAAACAGCTCAGTAAAAAAGATAAATTGAAGCAAATAAACAGCTTAATTAAAAATAAAGCTTCAATCTCTAATGTAATAAATGAAACAGAACCCAAAGAAAAAATTGTCTTAAAAACTACACAATCACACTAAATTGTTTTATATTATTATCGAACTGCTTTCCGCACACTTTTCAAAATATCAAATTAGTGATTTTAACACTCAAGCACGAATATTAATTTAAAACCAAAATAAGTCAAGATCAGTCCCATGATTGATTTTACAATTCCTGAAGAACATGGATCCCTACTATTTCAGCCTGCTAAGGATTTAGTTATTACAAGAAAATGGAGCTCATACTTTATTTTACCCTTTGAGGAAAGGTTTAATGGTATTGATTTAGTATTATTTACAAGAAAGCACCATTCAGTTGGACTTCTAGTAGGGGTATTATATATATTTCTTGTTTTCCTAGGAATTGCTTATATGAAAAATAAAAAACCAAGGAAATTTATTGACAAAATTCTTCCTTTTTGGAATTTGTTTCTGTCAGTTTTTTCAATTATAGGTTCAATCAGAATGGTGCCATATATTTTCGATACATTATCACAAAAAGGCTTAGATTGTTTACTTTGTACTCCACCTTCATATACGTATGGAAGAGGACCGTCTGGATTGTGGACAGGTTTATTTATTTATTCAAAATATATTGAATTATTTGACACAGCATTCCTTATTTTAAGAAAAAAACCTGTTCCATTTCTTCATTGGTATCATCACGCAACAGTTTTGGCTTTTACGTGGGACGCTTACGCTCGTGAAATGCCTAGTGGCGCTATTTTTGCAACAATCAATTATTTAGTTCATAGTGTGATGTACTTTTACTATTTTCTAACATCGTTAAAATACAAACCTAAATGGGGTATTACAATAACAATTGCCCAAATAGTACAAATGTGGATTGGTATAATTGTTACTTTGCAAGGAGCTATTGCATTTAATTATAGAGATAAAATGCAAATTCACGAACTTGACGCTGCTCGTAACCCTAAAAAATACAATAAATGTTATTATGACAAGTTTTCTATTATTTTTGCAACTATTATTTACTCGACTTACTTGTACCTTTTTATGAAATACTTCACTGATAGGTATTTCAGTAAAAAAACAGTTAAGAAAGAAAAAGTCAAGTAACTATTTTTAACTCAATTAAATTTCTTTTTACTTCTTTAGTACTTTATAATAAATTATCATTTAAATTAGATCATTTATAAGTCGAGTTTATAGTCATCATTATTGCAAAATTTTTATTTTTGGTCTAATTCTGACTCAGTCATTACAGTTAAATGAATGAAATCTTCTATCTTAGTAAGACTTTCTTCAGATGTTGTAATTATATGATACGTTCTTAAGACTTCATACACTTCTAATTCTTTGGCTAGGCTGCGTCCTTCTTTAGATAGAACTATTGTGTGTATAAAATCTAAAGCAACACTAACAAAATCTTCTGAAAGTGTAGGCCCACATGCCTCATCAGAGTACAGACATTTTTGTTCTTTAGATAACACCTTTAAATCATTTTCAGAAACAGTTTCTAAGTATGACTTAGAAGGATATAAAAATAAACAAGTAGAATGTATAGCCTTTTTCAAGATTTTTTCGTCTATTTTTTCGCCGATTTTACTTTGATATTTTATTAAAATTAACAAACCAATTTTTAATAAGTTCTTTGGGACAAACGAATCGATAAAGCTTTCGACTAACAATTGGTCTGGATTTGTTAGCTCTGAACGGAAAAGTTCGTGTAGAACGGCCTCGTTGTTAGTCAAATTGACAAAAGTATTGTATAAATGCGTTACTAAAACGTTGTTCTCGTTTTTGCAGACAGCTTTATTAGAATAATAAACCAATTTTAACAAATTAATGTTGTTTTCTGCAAAAAACGAACAAATTAGTGAGTCACGTGTTATATTACTCAAGCACATTGCAAGAAATGATTGTGATTCAAAATCTAATAATTCAAACAAAACATCAATTATCATCGAAATAATTTTTCGGCGCGCGAAAGGTTTACTTGAAGCAGCACTAATATTTACTAGTAATTGAAACAATTCTTTAATTTGAATCTCATGTGATAAGTTTATTAATCTTTTTATTAATTTATTTATAATTTTGTCTTGTTCATGCGTTGTCTTTAGGTCTTCTGTATTGTCAAATAATTCCAAGAAATTTTCGTTGCCAGAATAGTTTAACAAAATTGAAATGGCTTCGCAAATTATATCTCTCCTTGGATGAAATAAATATTCAACAACATCGTTTAACATATTTTTAAATACTTTTTATGTTGCCTTATCTTGCTGATATTATTACTGCTAAAAAAAGTAATTACTTAAAATTATTACATTGTCTTAATGTTAATAAAGGTTGATAATCCTTCATATATACTACTTTCTTTGTATGTTTGAAGTTGAATTATATTTTATGTAGAAAGAACAAGTCTATTACGGACAAAATACAATTACAAGCTGAAATCAAAAAATATATTTCGCTGTCGTATGGTTTAAGTGGCGTGGCTCAAATAATCTATGAAGTAATGTATTTTGATTTTAATTACAACGACGCGGTAATTAAGACTTATTCAAAGTAAGTGTTTTATTATAATTACTGAATAGCTTTATAAATTCAATAAAAACAGCGATTATTCTCAATGGAAACAAGCAACTTGGTATTAATTATTGCTCAAATACACTCTGTGTTGTTGCCAACAAAATAAATATTACTCACAAAATTGTGTGTGATATATTACCCACAGATGATTTCGCTAATAAAGATGAAGACATTATCGGCTGTGGCCGTTTCAATTATCACAATCCAAGCAAATACGGAGCTTCGAACTGAACATTTTCATAATCATCATGATACAATAATTAAAGAAGTACTAGTAGATCAATGTCAGTGTCCTGAAACTTACCAGTTGTCTGACACTATTTGTGAAAGAATAATAGAAACTCCTACTATTTCTATTTGCCCTGCTAACCACATTTTATATAATAACGAATGTGTTAGTAGCCACACACCTAAAACCCAGTGTCCTTATGAGCACGTTTTGTTGAATAATGAATGTCTCAAACGAGAAATGGTTCAGCCTCACATTATTTGCCCAGACGGTTTTCAAATGCAACGATTGGGTTACAAACCCAAGTCTTTATTGCTGAATGAATTAGATATATTATGTGTAAGAAAAGTTCAAGTTCCAACTGTCCAGGTTTGTCCTGACGGATCCAAATTTGATGGTAATTGTTTTATTGATAAATTAGTTCAGGCTAATGCAGTTTGTACGAATGGCTACATTCTGGAAGATGGATACTGTAAAAAATCTGAAAAGTATCCATGCACAGAACAAATCGGAAAACCATCTATAGTTCAAGAACTTGTAATCCCAGTGGAAGCCGCTCTTTCGACTCATTTCCATAAACATTTAAGAAACTTAGAAGTCTCTATTAGAAGGCCTACTTCTTCAACATCTGATAAAATAGTTAGAATTGATACTGAATGTATTCAACACGTTGTACAAAAACCAGATTTTGAATGTGAAATTGGTATCCTTCAAGGAAATTTCTGTAGAATACCAGAAAAAGTAGACTCAATTGAAACTTGTCCAGCTTTTGGAAACATTAAAGACTGTTATCAATTCGAAAAAACAAGACCAGTTACAACCTGTCCTCCAGGTTACCAAAGCCAGTGCATGTCTACTAAAAACAAATCATTTATCAACTGCGGATGTACTAGAGTTGTAAAAACACCGGTTCTCGTATTCTGCGAGGTTGGATACAAACTTGAAGGGAATATATGTGTGAGCAGATCTCCTACAAACAAGTCCTGTAACACAGGTGAAAATATGGTCGGAGATTACTGTCAAAAGCGAGAAAGTATAAAAGCCATTTGTAAATAAACTTGTTGATTAATTTTTTAATTTTATCAGAATAATCAAATTTATGTCGAGTACACAGAAAAGTAATTTTCTAGCCTGTTTTTACGAAATTAAAATGTATTAACAGCAAAGTAGATTTTATATTAAAAGACTAAATAATAAATTCTGTTTAAAAATTTTATAAGTCGAATTTACATCAACATAAAACACTGCTAGCTGACTTATCATTTATTAATTGAAATTAAAGTACGATAATATAAACATATAATCTTTTTTCCATAGAAAATCTTTTGTAAAATGAAGAATGATAAAATCGATGAATGGAACGAAAGTACAGAAGAAATAGCCTCAATGATAAATACAGCTATGAATAAATTAACAGACGTTACTCGTTCTACGTGGAATCCTGATTTTACTTTGGAAGACTGTGAAAATCTATTGATTCAAAGATTAGGAGAAACCAACGCCTACCTAACTGTGTTACAGGAACGTCAACATGAATTGGAAAAAACACAACATGAAGTCCAAAAACAGAAAGAAGAACTTAATTATTTATATGATGAATCACAAAATGCAATTTGCAAATTTGATAATGATGCTGACCACTATCATGAAACAAAAACAAAATATCAAAAATTAATTAAAACTATAAATCAGCGACGTAAACAAATTGAAGATGAAAAAAACAACTTTGAAAAAAAATTAGAAAATGTTCATACTAAACTAGAATTGCTTGAAAAATGTTCTAACATGTATTATCCAGTATTATCAACATCAGGTAACAACACTATAATGTCGTTTGGTATGTTAATTCAACTTTTTAAAATATTTCTTTAGATTATATTAAAAACAATAAGTTGCATAAAAGTAGTATTACAGTATCTGAACAACAAGACGAAACATGGAATCAGTTATATCGGTTATTTGATTGGAACGTCGATAGCATCACAAAAGAAACACTTTCAGACCTCAAAGATACAAATACAACTAACGCAGATATCAAAAAACTCAAACCTAAACTTGCTGTTAGTAATTCAAGAAGCTCTGGAATTATAAATCAGTCAGACGAAATTATTTTATAAATTATGAAAACTCTCGTTTTGGCCTTTGACTGTAATTTCAAAAAATAAAAATCAATTCATTGTCAAATTATTGTACTTTTATATTCACTATAAAAAGTAGCAAGGCTCAATGATTTTTAAATTATAGCTTTTTAAATTTTTTTGAGAAGATTTAAATATATGTTAGAAAGTGGACATATTTCATCGTTGTGGAATAGGTCTGAAATTCACGCTTCTTCATGTCACAGTCACGTTAAAGGTCTTGGAGTTAATAGTAATTTGGAAATTGAAAGTTCTTTAGTTTGTGGTTTAGTTGGACAACATGAGAGTAGAATATCGTTAGCCTTGATAGAAGATCTTATTTTATCTCAAAAATTTAGTGGAAGAGCAATTTTACTTGCTGGTCCACCTGGAACTGGAAAAACGGCTTTAGCTCTCGGTTTGTGTAAAGCATTAGGAACAAAAATTCCTTTTTGTACTGTTTCACCAGCAGAACTTTATTCGCAAGAAGTAAAAAAAACGGAAGTTTTGAACGAATATTTGCGCAGAGTAACGCGCGTTCGTATCAAAGTTACAAAACATATTTATGAAGGCGAATTAATTGATTTACATTTAGAAGAATCTAGAGAATTTCCGAACCAGTCAAGTAATATTATTACTGCAATTGTAGTAACGTTAAAAGCCGCTGCTGGAACCTTGACCGCCAAATTTCCGCCTTCTATTCACAAAGAATTTATTAGAGAAAAAATCAACATAGGAGATGTTGTTCATATTCAGGCTGAAAGTTGTTTAGTTCGCAGAGTCGGAGCATTCAATTCTAATCACTCAGCGATAGATTTAGAATTTGATAATTTCGTTCCGTTGCCCACTGGTCAAGTATATAAAAAACGTGAAATAGTGCAAGATTTAACGTTACATGATTTAGATCGAGCTAATGGTCAGCCAACCAGTATGGGCGAATTATCATCAATACTTTCATCTTTACAGGCACCAAAAAAAACTGAAATTACAAATAAATTAAGGGCTGAGGTTGACAAAATGGTTCAAAACTATGTAGAAGAAGGAAATTGTGAAATCATACCAGGTGTTTTATTTATAGATGAAGCTCATAACTTAGACATACACTGTTTCGCTTATTTACACAAAATTATTGAATCAGCAAATTCACCAACAATCATTCTGGCAACGAATAAAGGCATGGAGCCAGTTAACGATCCATACAACAACCATAAAAGTTCTAACGAACTGTCTCCTCACGGAATACCATTCGATTTTTTAGATCGTTGTTTAATTATTCCTACTAATCCAATTACAATTGAAGATGCAATTGAAATTATACAAATTCGTGCTAACGAAGAAAACACTAAATTGGAGCCCGAAGCGTTGTCAAAGTTAGCTGAAATATGTGTTAAAACATCTCTCCGACATGCAATACAAATGTTATCACCAGCGTTGATGGCTGCCAAAATTCGAGGCAGTGAAATTGTCGATTTAAGCGATGTCTTAAACGTTACGAATTTGTTTTCTAGCGCCGAAGAATCTGTACAATTTTTAAAAAACAACTAACTTCATTCTTTAATAAAGTGTATTTAGTGTAACCATACATTACTATTTCATATAAGTGTGCGAAAACTGTCAGATTCAAAATTAGATTTTTTCTAGTTGGATAATATTGATGATCACTAATAGGTTGACACGTTTAGGTTGGTTCTGTCTATTGACAGCTAACTCATTTATGCTGGGTTCCGGTTCGAACTCCGGTAACAATAATAATTCCGATGCAAATGACGCGTCGCCTTTAGATTTTACAAGAACCATTGCGAGATTCATTGAATCTATACCAGTATATTCGTCACCTGCCGATCAACTTTTAGCACAGAAAGCTTTGACTCGATGGGAAGTGCCACCTGTGCAATCACCAGAATGTGTTGAATTTTACCATTCAAACCCAGCTTTGAAAGAACGATACCAAAGTTTAAACAAAACTAATGCTATTAGTATTGTCAACATGATTCCGGATATCAGTTTTCTAACTAAACTAACAAATAACCAGTTCATGTGTTTGTTTAGTTTAGGTTACGTTCCTACAAGAGTCATCCAGGGTATTGCCCAAGGTAGAGTTTACGACGTTTTCGGTGAAAATGTTTTCAATGACCTTGCTCATATCGTGTGGGGAGGGAAAATCTTTGCCAAGTCAAAGTGTAACTCGACTAACAAAGAAATCAATTTAGTTGTAAACAGTGTTATGAAGTATCCAGGATTTTTCGCACTTGCGAATGTTTCAAACAACCCCATAAACACAGCTCACAAATTTAGTGACTATGAAAAATGGGATGACAAAGGTGCTGTATGGATTGACTATTCATCAAACCTCGCACAACTTTGTGAGAACGAATTACCTAAAGCTTATGATGTACCAGAATTCCACACGCGATTGGCTACTTGGGCCACTGAAAACAATTTACCAATGGCTGATCTTATCAAATCTTTTGCGGACCACATATCCCCAGATTCTCCAATCATGGAAACTCTTGGATTAGGCAGAAACAACGCTTTAAGAGCTCAGAAAATTAACTTCGACATGTTTAACAATCTGCCATCACCAATTTACGTCGTTGATGCTTTGAGATGGATAGGTAGAGATGAAGACAAATTGGTCGACTATTACTTAGGCCGAGTATTTTTAACTTTTGCTGAAGGTCTTAGAACTGTTGGATGGTACAACTTGAAGTCTACTGATTTGTTATCAAACCACGAACTCAATTAAGTAATTATTGACCTAGTTTAACTTTTATTGGTTTTATCAACAACGATATATTAAAGCATGGGAAATTATATCCGGCAATTCGTTCGTGTATAATTCTAATTAAATAGTTTCATGGTAATTTTTTTATGTGAAACTATCATTTTGTCATATTTATAATAAAATGAAACCAGATAAATTTTAGAAAATTGTTACTATCTTAACAACTGTAATTCTATTCTAAAAAACTTTTATTATTTATTAAACAGTTTACGAAAAATTATTGGTAAAAAAAATCATTATATATTTAGAATGCGATAAATCATAAGATTAATCTACACTATCAGACTTGTAAATATATTTTTGACAATTTAATAATATTAAAGAATGAGTTTTCCGTTTGCTCAAAATTATCAGCCTATGCAGGCTAAGTCGATTTTAACGTGTTATCGTTGTAATGCAAATTTAGAATTTGAAGCAGGAGCACAGTATGTTCAATGTACTTCTTGTTCAACAATGAATGTCATTCAATGTAAATCTAACGTAGGAGGTCGCGTAAGTTTTCGTGGTTTTTCTACCAATATTTAGGTTATGTCCGTCATTTGCCCTAATTGTTCAGTTACAAATTTAGCTCCTTATGGAGCTAATTACGTTAGATGTGGAAGCTGCGAAGATATCTGCGATGTTTCTCACGCTTACACTTTAACAACACAACAAGAAAAATAAATTATGAAACAAATTCAAAAGCAGTAATTTACAACTTTTATAATGAATCTTGTTATTTTATAAAATAATAAAGTATATGATAAAAAGTTTGCCGAGCTCCAAACAGATTTTGAATCCATGAATATTAACTTTAACCTATTAACTAACTTGATCTATAATATTACAAATTCAAAGAATTTATTGTTGTTCTTCTTGGTTAACTTTTTCACACTCAATTACGTGGTCGACCCGTAGTAGGGTGATTGCCGATTCTGTCGCAAAGCGAATCATTTTCGTTTTAATTACTGCTGGTTCGATGACGCCAGCCGCAATATTATTTCGTATTGAGTTATTTTTGATGTCTATTCCGTAATATATTTTATCTTTTTCTTCTTCAGAAACCGCTTTAATGTCGAAGCTGCTGTAGTGGTTACGCAAAAGCGCGATCATGTTGTGAGAATCAATCATTGCATTGATAGAGATGCATTTTGGGATTATACTTAGTGCTTCGATAAACTCCAAAACAGCTGCTTGTTCGTAAGCGTCCAGATCCTTGATAAAAATTTTCAGCTCTGCGGCTACCGCCATCTCTACAGCGCCTCCTCCTGCTACAACAACGCTAGATTCTAGTGTTCGTGAAAGGACACAGAGAGCGTCGTGCAGACTTCTTTCCAGTTCGTCAAGCATGTATAAGTTAGCACCTCTGGCAATGATCGTACCTGCTGTGCCGACAGAAACACCCTGAATAAAAACAAAGTCATAATCAGAAATTCTTTCTTCATAGATGGATTCTGCGTATCCAAGATAGGAGTCGTCCAGGTATTCGTCTCCTTCTTCGTTAGTCGGGAAAGATCGTATAACTACGGCTCCAGTTGCGCGAGCTAACCGGTAAAGTTCGGTTCTGTCTACACGTTTGACCACAAATATCCCTGCTTCATCGAAATATTTGATTGACATATCGTCAATTCCTTGTGAGGAAAAAATAGCTGTGGCTCCTGTTTTAATAATAAGTTCTATACGTTTTTTCGTTATATCTTTTTCTGCTTGACGAACTTTTTCCAACTCTTCGGGCGAAGTTATGAGTAATTCTACTCCCATTGGAGCTCTATACTGTTTTAAAGGAAAATCTAAACAGGCGATTTTAGCGTTTTGTATTTGTTGGAACACTGCACTCGATGCACGGGACGAATTAAACAAAGCGTAGCCGTCTACAAGTTTCGTGTCCCTCATGGACTGACCAGCTGTCTTTATAATGGATAAAGAGCTGATGGGATACTTAACGTTTCCAGCAGCGTCAATGATTTTAATTTTTTGAACCGCATCAACAAGCAACTTGGCAAAATATTCTGCGTCAAAACTAGGTAGTTTGCTCTGTAAACTTGTTTTTGCAATCGCTAGCAACAAATCCGTGTCCAACTCAGTCACTTTCTTGCACAAATATTTTTGGATAAATTTAACAACATGTTTACCCGCTTTTTTGTACGCGTTAAGTACCTTAATGGGATGGATTCCACTACTTATTAAATTCTGACCCTTATTAATCAATTCAGCTGCCAATAACACAACCGAAGTCGTTCCGTCACCGACTTCTTTATCTTGTAACACACTTAACTCCACCAAAACTTTCGCTGCGGGATGTTTGACATCGAGCTGTTTTACAATGGTTGAACCATCGTTTGTTATTACCATTTCACCAACGGAATTAATTAACATTTTGTCTAAACCATTCGGCCCAAGAGAAGTGAACAGTATTTTCATTAAAGTGCCAACAGCGTTTGCTAATTATTTATTGATAACATCTATACTTACCGTTGGCTTTTCGAACATCTTCTCCGAAACTGGAAAAATGTGAAGTTCTTCTGTTATTATTTATACCAGAAATCATTATTTACGTTTACTGTGAAATTAGAACTTTGACTATTTAAAACAGTTTTTTATTTACCAATTTCTGATATTACTAATTAACGATCAACTAATAAATCTTATAATTATATAGAATTAAATTTATTTAATTAAGTTTTGTTAAGAATTTATGTTCTCTTGAATGCGAAAACTGACATTAGGTAGATACTGAAAGGAATTCGTGTAAATTTATTAAATATTGAAGAGGTCAACATTTAGCTCGGCTTAGTTAATTTTTCTATTTCTTCGTTTGTAACTTGTATAGATTGTTTAGCTTTGTCTATGCATTGCTGTACTTTATTTGTAAACCTTTCCCAAGCTTGTTTCGTGATATCTTGAACTTGCACACATCGATATTGCGCTAGTAACTGCTGAGTTTTAATTTTTTCATATTTATTTTTTTCAGCACATAGATTTGATTGCATTTCAAAAGGAATGAAACTGTAAGGAAGTCTGGGTGGTTCGATGTCATTACTTTGCAAAAATTTGGAAGCGAGCAACTGAGCAGCTGAAGGACGTAAACCAGGGTTGTAATTAAAACAGGGTATGAGAAATTCTGCTATTTCGGAAGGTAGTTCTTTCCTCATATACGCAATGAACTTAGGCCCTGGCTCAGCTTCATTCGTTAGATATTGATTCGAAGCAAGCGGAAAGTTGACTACCTCTGGCCAATCGTTGATATTGATCTTACCGAACCCTTCAATCATTCGTGTTAATACGCTCAATTCTGTATCGCATTTATGAAATAAATTTTTTCCAAAATAAAGTTCATAAAATAAACAACCAAAACTCCAAATATCACACTCCAGTAAATAACACTTTGCTCCCAACAACAGCTCTGGGGGTCTAAACCACAGCGTAACTACACCATTTGTCAAGTTGGGGTGGGTAGATTCCAGAACTTGGATTTCATCATCAAATATGTTTTCTTTTGAAATATTTTGTCTGCAGTTGAATATGAGTCTGGATAGACCGAAATCTGCTAATTTGCAGACACCTTTGTCACTAATTAAAATATTGCTCAGCTTTATATCTCTGTGAGCAATTTGGCGTCTGTGAATGTAGTCTAAACCAGTTAAAATATCAATACTCATTTTACGGAGCTCAGGTATTGTAACTTTCCGTTCTTGAAAATAAACAATTTGCATAAAAGACTGCAAATCAAACGGACAAAACTCGAAAACCGCGTATATTGTTCTTGAAGAGTTTATTGAATCGATTTGATTGAGTTTTTTTGGATTATCGATGAAATACATGTTACGCCCGTCTAGATTGATATTGTACGTCGTAGATTTCTTAGTTGATTTTAAATTGTCATAAAAGTGTTTAACATTTGCATCTAGTGGAAACCAAGACGTACTTTGCGAAATTTCTACACCAATAAATCTCGTAATGTTTGGATGATTATTAAGTTCATAAAGTAAAGTAAGTTCGCGTAAACAAGTCTTTAAAACCCCATCACGTCGCCGTACATTATGATATTTCTTAATTGCAACGAATTCTTGAGTAAAAATGTTTTGGGCTAGCCAAACACTGCCGTATGAACCATTTCCAATAAGACGTAAAAAAAGATAATTATTCAGTGAGATTTTTTTGTTGTTTGATTGTACAGTAGTGTCAGGTTCAGTGTTCACATCTTTTACTTTTTGATTCAGTAAAACTTCAGTGGCAGTTTTTCCTAAGAGACATTCTAAGAACTGAGTTTTCTCTGAAGTCTTCATTGAATGATTACGTAGTTGCCGCTTTATTTTGTTTCATTAAGGTATAGATATTTACTAGTATTTTAAGTTATTTTAAAATAGCAAACTGATAAAAATCTACCATGAAGACGATAAAAAAACTAAATAATTAAAAAATAATTGTCATGAAAAGATTGTTTATAACTTTAGATGACAGCGACGGCGTTCTGATTTTTACAAGGCTCATAGAAACGTTAAAAAAAACATATAACGGTGGAACATTTGTTTTGGCTCATATTAACGCAGAATCAGATTGTTTTATAGAAGATAAAATTGTTTTACTAGGAAATCAGAGTAAGTAAGCAATAAAAAATAAATAAGATTCTCTTTTGATTGCGGCGTCATTGGCCGAAAAACTAACTTCAATAGCTTTTGTTACCTACTGTAGTGTAGCTGATGAAACAATAAAATACTTGAAAAATCTAAATTACAAAGTGATAAATTGCAAACAATATTTGAAAAATACTGAAATTGCAGTTGACAATTAGAGCACAAAAAGATCAAATTTTTTTAAACTATAGAACAAAACAGGATAAAAAGCGCAGCAAACAAAACGATTATCATAAACCATACCATTAAGTTCTTTTTGAGCTAACGAAGCAGCTAAGACGTCTTTAAATTCGATAAACAATTTTAAATATGTGTTATTGACTGTGTCTTGCGGATTGAGAAATTTAGAGCAGTGTACCGTGCCGAAAGCTGAAGCTTTTTCGTAAAAATCTAATTCAATTTTCTTCAAATCTGTTGTATGCTGTAATGTTGATGGCAAAAAATTATGGCAAACAAGAATTCGATCAGGAGTTTTTCCAATATTCTTAATTAATTCAAAAGTAAAAGTGTTTAGAGGGCAGGCATATAATTGTTCTAGCGGACTTCGAAGTCGCTGGTTTTTACCTACAATGTTTAGTATTTGAAGCATTTCATCATCTCTCATTTTATTAAATAAAACAGAAGATTTAGAATCTTTTTTTGTGATTACCGTTTTATTATCGCAACTTTGGCTTGCTTTAGTTTGATAAATTAGATCTTTGTATTCTAAACATTTTAACTCATCACTATATTCAGTATTGTCATTGTTCTCAACTAAAGTGTAAGTAAGTTTGTCCCTGACAAATGGATAAAGTTCTGTGATAATATCCGTTGTAGATGAATCAACATGCGAAATCTTCGGAAAAACGAATTTTAAGGGAACAACGCAGAGTCTGGATCCAAAAGCGACTTTGGCATGCAAAGAAGCGATATAGCTATTATCGTCGTTTTTGAATTTTAGAACAGCAAATCCATAAGCAAGTTGAAAACAACTTAATGTGAATTCAGTTCGATCGACTGCCAATTGTTTTTCAATCCAATTTTTAAAGGCGTCTGCTTTGTAAAATTTATATGAAATGTTAGAGACTAATAAATATTCAGCATCCATATAAATATCAACAGACCCATCGAAACAAAAATTTTATTTTTATTATTTTAATTATTAAAGATTATTACTGAGTAATAAATATGGATTGTTCAAGCAGCGACGACTTTAGTGATTGGGAGATCCAAGAACCTTCGGTACCGATTAATTCGAGCACGAGCAAAAATGTAGATGTTAGTCAAAATGCGTATGTTGTACCTTCTTTTCTTACGATACCTTTGGACAATCCAAATGACGAAAGAAAGAGAACAAATTTACTTCAACAATATAGAGATGCCGAACTAGGCCACGGTTTGTTTGGTTCAGACGATGAGATAGAGTTTAATTATGACTCAGATGATTCGTTTATACAGAGAGCTAAGGCAAACTATTCAGAGCATTTGCAAAGCAAATGTACTGAACGTGAGAGCAAAACTGGCAACGCAGGTACGAAAATTTCGATGGCCAAGGTTAGTGATATAAATGCACTTATTAAAGTGTTAGAAACTGAAATTACGGGAACAACTATTCAAAGCAAAAACTTGTTCCATTTTTTGCGTTCTATTATCGGTTTTGGGGCTGTAAAATTAGATATAATACATCTTAGAAAACTTGTAGATGAACTACAACACATCTATGTCAAAAAAGATGCAGAAGAAAAAATCAGGGCCAATAAAAGCAAAAAAAATAACGAAAACGACCAAAATCACCGCCGCCCTACAAATGAATATAAAATGAAATATGAATGTGACGAAGACGATGGTTACTCAAGCGGTAGCAGCTTCGAAGAAGTTTATTTACAAAAAAACAGCAAAAAATTGAATCAAACATCCAGCAGTGCTAGCTCAACCGCTGAAAAAAATGTGAATCCAATTAAAGGTATACCATTCGACGAATTTTTTTGAATTACTAAAATTAAAAAAATACTTAATTTATTTTATTTACAAATAAATAAACAATCTTTAGTTAACTATTTTTAGATTTAAAAATAAACTTTTTTTCATTGTCTGAAATTAGAAAATAAAATTTTCTAATTGATATTTTGAAAAACGAAGGTTACTTTATTTAAGACCTACTATTTCGGTTTTTAAAATTAATTATTTGAAAGAATATACTATTTCGGATAATGTTATGTCGATTAAAGTAAATAATACAGATTCTTGTTCAAACCAGCGAAATAAATTTTATTATGATGTATTAGAATCTTCGGTAAACTACAAAGATCTTTATGAATATAATAAAATTGACCCAAGCTTTAATTTTTTAGAATCCTTGTTTTTTGAACCGGTAACGGCATTTTTTGATTTGATAAGCGAAAAACATTTACTGAACGATGACTTCTTTAAAGAAATAGAAAAATGCCAATACTCGATGCTACGCGTGCTTAACGCTTGCATAGTACGAGACTTTGATGGCTTGCCTTTGTTTATTTTAAAAGATTTTACTTGTTGTTTGTACCTGGAACATTGTTGGAAAAGTTATATGCTTGAGTTGTCCGAAGGCCATCCAAACTCCATAAAAAAATATCGAGATCACTTAAAAGTGATTTACTACCTTGCTGTAACTTCGCAGAAGTTTTTACTTTTTCCACTGCAAACAAGTTTCTTGTTTGACTCCGATTTTTTCACAAGTCCTGACTCGTTCCAGCATTACTGTTTAACAATTCGCGACTTTTCTGAAGCTCTTTTGCGCTTTGAACATGAATTCGGTTTAGTAGCACTAAATAAGTTTTTGCCGTTTTTATTTGTGTTGATGATGAATGAGTTTGGCAGTTATAATCCCGTAGATCCATTAGGTCCAATAATTGAACGTGTATATGTGAAGAAAAAATTAAATAAAGCCGTCAAAAAAGTCGATTCAGCATCTGAGGTCAATAAGTGGTACTTTTTAGACAACATGGAACAAATTAGTGGTCCGTTATATTCGGATTATATGGAATATCTTTACTACAACAGTTACTTCAATTTCAACTCGTACATATCAAATTCAAAAAAGTCATACTTCATTCCTTTGCATTCAATTTACACTTTTGTCTCTGGAAAAACTCCACTCTTGTTTACAAAGCCAAATTTCGCATTTTACGGTCGAGAGCATAACTGTTTTGATTTGTTCTCACCCATTAAGAAAGAGTATTTGATTTTCCTTACTAAAATGGAAAAAATCATTTTCGACTTTGCAAAGGCCGGTTCTAGTAAAATATCTGTATCGTTGCGTGAATCGAGTCTTGAAAAGTTAAACGCTAGAATGATCACTCATTTTTTCGGCGATCAAAAAAGCGCCGATTTGGAAGCCTCTGCAAACAACACTGACGATAAACAACAGAAGGCTTCGCGCTTAGAACTTCAAAATAACATGATACATTTAAGACGTGAAAAAGACGCGGGTACTGATCTAAGCACTAACACTACATTTATCAACGCCGCAACCGTTGATGATGAAGAATGTTTTAACGCTGATGTAAAAAAAAGTGCAGAAAAGAATAAAATAAATGCGAAAAACAACTTGTTTAAGCACATTGACGAACACGCCGCTACTGCTGACAAAGAAACAAAAAAGAACAATTTTGTAGCCTCAGACAAGTTTACTCTGAAGTCCAAAGTTGATACAAACAAGAACGAGCCGCACTCGTCTGATTTTAATTCTGCATACGATAAGATAGATAGCGGTCGTTGGAAAACTTCGCAAAAATTAAAAGTCCACGAAGAAAACCCTACTTCAAAATTAGATAGAATATCTAAAACAAGTGGTTCCAAGCCCACGCCTTATAAAGTTATTGCAGACCTGAAAACAGGTTCTTTCAACAATTCTGCGGACACCGTTGTCCAGACAGAGACGAAAAACAGTTATCCGTTTCCCCACAGAGACGCGCATGACTCGAGTTTTGCCAACCGAGAGTTGTCTAGTGATAACAAGTGTTCGCCCTCATCTGAACTATCTACCAATAAAACTTCTCTTAAATATACCAAAGAAGTAAACAAAGCACCTAGAGGCCTTATTTGTTCTGTGTCGCAAGTGGTTAAGCGTACAGTTGTGGCGGATAAAAGCTTACCGCTCAAACCAAATTCCGCGTCACTTGATTTGAACCACGAGCCTTGTTTGCTCGATACCTGCAACATCGTCACTAACAAAAACACAAAAGTAGCTAATGCCGGAAAGATAGCTTATCCATCGACAATCTTCAAAAGCGGCAAATGGTCTGAGGTTATTGGCAGCCAGAAAGACGCTCCGTCTCTAGATTCTGACACTATATATATAAAAAATAAAAATTCGAGTAATGTTATTAAATCTTCTGACGCTTCTGTTAAGTTCTACCCGTCAATAACTTTTTCAGTTGTGCCAAAAAATAAGATTTAAGTTTTATCATGTTTATGAACACTTTTTGTTAGTATGTAATTATCAATATTTTATAATATATTAATGTTATTATATTAAATGGCTCAAAGAAACGCGCGGCTTTTTTGACAAAGATGACAAATAATGTTGCTGATCAATCGCGGCAAATCATTCTCAAAAAAAGTACAAAATTATTATTAGTCGGCCATTGAATAAAACTTGAGTGATTTTTTTTTTTTCGTTGTGTCTAATAAGTTTAATTAGAACGAAGTGAGATAGAAAAATCTATTATGGTTTCCAAGAAAGTCAATTCTTTAATTCCTCGTGCGAGTCGTCACACCTTATATAAGTATTTAATGCGTGATGGTACTTTGGTCGTGAAACACCAGCCCTCTTTACCCATTCACGAAAAAACTAAAATTACGAATTTACATGTGATGCTCATGATGAGAACTATGAAGACTAAGGAATACGTAAAACACACGTATCTTTGGGGTTACGACTACTACATCCTCACTCCAGAAGGAATTGAATTTTTGAGGGAACAGCTTGATTTGCCTCTCAACGTAATGCCTGCTACTTATGCGTCAGCTAAACCTGCTATACGCCCTGAAAGTGGCAAGCGTGAAGCAGTTAATGCTTAATTTACTGGCTTTACTAATGTCTAATTATATTATCTTGTTTATTAGTAAGTTTACTATGCAATTTCCCTGTTTTATTAAATACTTTACTTGTTTATTTTTCATCTAACAATTATTTACAGAATGATGATTATTAGCAGTATGGGGACATATGAATTTATGTGATTAACATACTCTTAAATCTGACTATTTTATTTTATAAATCTTTCTCTTTGTTTGTGTGATCTTCGTTGCATATTGTGCATATTATTCCTGTAGTTTTTTGTGGATAAGCGAATACAAAAATGAGCGGGGTGCAGTTATTATAACTTGGAAGATGGGATCGTTGCTTAAGTTATTTTTGAAGATAGTTCCTTATGCTTCTGCCATAGCAGCGATTTGTACATCTGTGTCTTCATTATTCTTCTTTTTTCGTAAAAAACTTTATCATCCGTCGGAATACCGATGGATCGGGAAACTGTTTCTCTTACTAAAAATTCATCGGCACGAAGCGTTCGACTTGCTTATTGATGTTATCGAAATTATTGGTTTACAGAAGAACAAAAAGTATTACATTGTAGTAGGCTCAGGCCGGTACGCGTTGAAAACGTCCACCAAGATCCCGAACGACAGTACAGGGCCAGCGATGTTTTATGAGAGATTGAAAATTCAAGTGCGCCAGGCTGATAAAAAGCTTAAAATAGTGCTGTATCGCAAATGTTTTAGGCTAGATGAAAAGATCGGCGAAATTTCACTAGACGTAGATGATTATTTGTTGAAAAATAACTTTCCAACTAAAATTACTTTTGATTTTAAAAAAAAAGATGTTACACCTGCAAAAGGAGTTTTTTCTTTTTACAAACCCGCTGTAATCTTGCCTGAGCTCAGCCAGGCGTGGTTTTTCAACGAAGACTTAATTCAGGAACTTATAATTAAAGCAAAAGACAAAGGCCAAGAATTTAATCAGGCGGAACTGCTCGAAATGACTCCTATAAAACTGATTCTCGTTTTTTGCAAACTGCTCGAAGGACCGCTGGATTTGATCGACGAAAAGACTCTGTCAAAACATGTTAGGTACTATTTCAAAGCCACAAAAACCACGTCAAATGAATGGGTATGGTGTTACTGGCAAACCCAAGAAGATCTCTTGCAAAAGCACAACCCGGTTGGAACCATTTTTATTAATTCAATAGTTGCAGTCTTTTCGAAACGTCAAAATCTAGGACGACACGAGTTCGTACTAAAATATAAGAACAAAAAAACTACTAAGCAATTTACATTTCAAAGAGTCGACAGAGATCGCAACTTGTGGGTAAGTGCGTTACTCACCACTATAGACCTTATAAGAGATTACAAGGTGAACTACAAATCGCAACTTTATTCGTTCGCTAATGAGCTAGAAGAGGATAAATTGCTGCAAGACAAAAAACTAACACGTAAGCAAAAACTAACTTATTCTTCGGAAGACACTGAAAATGCAAAAGCGGGTGCATCAGGAACTGAAACTTCAAAGGAGACGAATCAAGCTGAAAAAAAAATGAAAGTCTTTATGAAAAAAGAATTAAACAATTTGTCTAGTTTACTGCGCACGCATACTGCAGTGATGAGCAAGAGAAGCAACGAAGGCAATAAAACCGAAGAAAAAGCAAATTTAATGGACTCTGCCTTGCAATAATAATTTTATTGTTCTTTTGTGTTAATATTGAAAGAAAATCGCAAAATCAGTAAGTCTGATTGAAGACGCCCAAATAGTCTTGATTGATTTGCCCAACTGCAGTGACATTTGTAGGATTGATTTTAAATGCCATAATTCTAAGACGGACAGAAGAATTGATTGCTACTTTATCGTTATCTGCAATCCACGAGGTACCATCAAAAGAATACGACTCCGGTATGTTGTTTTTTGGAACAAACACTTTTAACGGCCCGCAAAAAACGAAAAAGCCCATCGGATTTACCGAGGAAACCGTTCCGTCGATGACATGGCCGTTTTTCATGTTCAATACAATCGCTCTGACTTTTACTTGAACAACCACATGACCTGTAAGTTCTTGGACTCTGCCATTTTGACGCTCTAACACTTGGCTGACGCAAATAATTAAACCGTAAGGCGGAATGTTGTGGCCTTCAAGAGTTTTGTACACTGCCTTGTCAATTGACTAAAAATACTTTCGTGCGATTATCTTACCTCTTCAAAATGCGGTCCAATATCTTTAGGATGGATATAAATACATCTCCAAAAATCGATTAAACAAAACATGTTAATTATGCTGATTCTAGGCGATGCATTTATTTGAAGTCAAAATAGATAATAGTATACATGATAAATGAATTTATTTTTCTCGGTCAGGAAATAATTATTAATTTGCGCAAAAAATAATCAATTCGTGCTACATGGATAGTCAAGACGATATCAACTATTTCATAAAAGAACTCGAGCTCCACGAAGATTTTCCTAAAAAAGGAGTGAGGTTCATTGACATTATGCCAATTTTCAAAAATAAAAGATGTTTACACATATTAATTGAGCAGTTCAAAAGTTTTATTCCAAGAAATACAAACGTTATCATAGCTCCAGAGCTACGAGGCTGTCTGATTGCGACATACGTAAGCTTTGCTTTGGACCTACCGCTTGTGGTAGCTAGAAAACCAAAGAAATTGCCTGGAAAATTAATTACAGCAGAATACAAGACAGAATACAGCGTTGATCAACTTCAGATCAAAGACGGTGCCCTTAAAAAGGACGATAACGTGTTCATTATTGACGATGTCATGGCAACGGGCGGTACTTTGCGCGCTTTGTTAAGCATTATAGAACAACTAGAAAGTACCTGTACCGGCATTGGTGTAATCACTAGAATCGACAAATTTTCAACTGACGACATAACTGTTCCTGTTTACAAAATGTTTTAATTTAAACTCTGGAACCACTTTACGCTTTTAGTGATTAACCAGGTGAATAGAGAGTGTAGGGCGAGAAAAAACGTGTAGCTGGCGAATTCCTTATTATTCTCTTCGATAATATTCTTGATTGCCATGTAGAAAAGACTGAGCCGACTGCTAAAGACTAGAATTGGAGCGTTTTCCGGCTGTATGAACTGCAGAAAGTACATTCCAATGAGCTCGAAGCAAAATATGAAAAGCGAAACGAGTTTATATTTAAATGCGTCTGATAAAAACGAGGATAAAAAATACTTCATGGTTTTTGACGAAAGCCACATGACTATTAGAGCGAGTAAAATTTTTAGTCCAAGTGTGGAGGACGTAATTATTCCAAAGTAGTACACTTCGATGTATTGAACGAAAATATAGGGAAAGGATTGTAATGCGCTGGTGACCACATTGACTAGGACCATTTTTTGCAAAAAGAAAAAATAACTTTTCAAGGCTTCTGAATTTATGATGTTGGCATCGTTTCGATTAAAGTAAAACGTTGAAACATAGGCGGTGATGCAAAAGCGCAGAAGTGCGTCTCGCACGCTTTCATCATCACTACCATTAGTTTTTAGAATGAGAAAAATGTTCGAGTATGTTACACAGCAAATCATGACGTAAAGCATAAAAAAACTTACAATAGCGTACGACAGCGTCGGTTTTGAAGTAATGTATCGCAAATAAATGATTAAAACATATTTAATTGCGAGTATAAAACTTTGCAGACTATTAGATGTTTCGTTTTTTTCTTCAGTCGGTTTAATAGGTACGTTGTAGCTCAAATCATCGATGATTAAATCCGGAATCTTGTTTGACATAAGCTCAATGGTGAACAAGGAGCTAGATTCTTGTGTATTTACACGCGCTGTGTCCTCTTTGGGCTTTTCAGCGATACTGGAAACGTGTTTAACATTGGCATTCGACCTTTGGTATATCAGTTGATCGATTTCTTCGCCATCCATCTTCAAAATTCTAGTTTTTACTATATTCATATTTAAGGAACCTGAAGTTGGTAAAGGCGACACGCATTCAGTGATCTTTTCATAATTCGTTAGGCTTTTTTGTTTAGTTATGCCGAAAAACTGGTAATTGAGCACGTCGTTCACGGTTACACTTTCTATTGATTGTTTGTCCATCCAAAGCAAGTTGTATTTCTCAAGTTGCAGCGAAAAAGAGTCGATTTCAAGTGTACACAGCACTGTTAACTGTTTCAAAGTTACTAACGAATAAATAATGTTTAAGAATTCGTTTGTAGCTGTTACAGATAGTCTGGGAATGCAAAAACAAATTAAGTTGACATTTTTCATCGTTCTAGCGGCGACCTTGCAAGTAAGCAGTTCCAGTCTTAAATTTTCGTTTTTGAGGTCAAGTATTTTTTTGTGCAAAATCGTATTGAACCGAAAAACCTTTATGACTTTGTATAGATTCCAGCTACAAGGATCTTTTTTTGTTTGCAATCTGTTAAAGCGGAGATACTCTTTGACCGTTAACAAGTTCCATTTTTCTGACACTGACCGGCAATAGATTATTGTTTGATTGGAAAGAGGTTGTGACTTTGCGTTTTCGTTGTCTGTACTTATTTGACAAGTTTTCCAGATAACAGACGTTGTTGCTTGCTGAGGATTGGCAAGGGTAGCTAAAAGTCTGTTGGCGTCTTTGATTTGAGTGTTTGTCAAAATGTTTATTTGATACGGAACCAGCTCGAAAAGATAGCTAAAAATAATTATCGCAGAACTTACCGTTTGTTTTGGGGCGGCAAATGACTGTTTTTCAAACCTAACGACGTCGTGACGTCTACTTGCAACACTGAAGGTGATTTCAAAGTATCATCATCCATTAATTGACGGGATTTTCAGTGGGGAAAAACAAATTTAAATTTTCTTTATGTTTTAATTTGGCGTTCTAAAAAAATAAAAATCTAAACCAAGAATTGTAATTGTAAGAAAACCTATTTCACCTTATAAAATTAATTATAAAAATTTTTATCATGAGCAACGGTATTGAAATAATATGTAAATGGCATGGCGAAAAGGTGTACACTATTAATACAGACGAAAAAGTGACATTGGGTTTTTTAATTCAAAAAATCCATGAGAAACTGAATATTCCTCCTTCCCGAATGACGTTAATGATGACTGGGTTCAAAATTCCTAAATTTGAGATTAATGAAAGCAATGACAAACTGTTGTCTACTTTTGGCAAACTGCTTCCTGTTTTGACATGCACAGTAATAGGAATTCCAGTTGGGGAAGAGTTCAGAAATGTGCCCGTGAAAATAGATCAACCTGTCATAATTAAACATGAACAATCAAAAATTCCCTATGGATACGTAAATATAGGTAACAGCTGTTTCTTAGGAGCGATTTTGACGATGTTTGAAAGTATTCCCGAGCTGGTCAAATTGCTGGCGAGCGACAAAACTTCAGCGTCAAGCAACAATTTATACAACGCTCTGAAAGAGACAATGTTGAAGAAAGATCGCTACAAACCGTATAGCCCTGCGATGTTTTTGGCTAGTTTGCAGCTTGAACACCCGCAGTTCATGCAGTACATGAAAGATTCCATTAAACTTGTGCAGCAAGACGTAGACGAGACGATGATGTGCATTCTATCTAGTTTGCAGAAGTCTAATCCAGAAATCACCAAATTGTTTTCGATCGTTCTTCAGACTGAAGGAATAGTAGAGACGAGAAACAAATTAACGTGTTATTTAGGTTCGATTTCGAAACCCGTTCAGTCGCTGATCGAAGGTATCCAACTTGGGCTGAATTCAGATGAAAAAAAAACCAAAATCACGAAACTGCCTTCGTATTTGTTTGTCCATGAAATGCGTTTTGACTGGAAACCGGAAAACACCACTGCAGGTACAAAAGCCACGAGAGCCAAAATAACACGCAAACTTAAAACTCCCTTGATTTTGAACCTCTCCGAAATTGCTGAAGAAAATCTGATAAATGAGTGCAAGTACGCCCTTCACGGAATTATTGCACATAAAGGACGCGGAGCTGAAAGTGGACATTATATATACTATTTAGTCGACAAAGAATCGAATCAATACATTTGTTTTGACGACGCTGAAACCAAGTTTATTAGCATGTTTCAGTCGTCTCTAGAGGGTGGTTACGCTGACGGCGACTGTCCGTATTATCTTGTTTATAAAAAACTAACTAACAATCAAAAATTATGATATGATCGGTCTAACCACCAACTATTCGCAAGTCGTATAATCTAATTCGACATTGTCGTGGCAGTAAATAAACTGACAAATAAAGTATTTTTAATTTTCACTGTAGCATAAATACACCACAGTACGTTAATTTGATTTCTATAGATCGATAATCTAATTAAATTGTTTTGCTCTGATATAAGATGTTACTGTACTGCGAAAGCAGTAATAACTATTATTTGCGACGCGTGTGCTTAACAAGTTTAATGTATTAAAATGTGGCTATTATAAAACAAGATAAGCGCTTTATTCCGGCTCTAGCGTAGCAACTAGCTTGAAACGTGCGTCTTTTTCCGACACTGACAAAGAAACATTGATTTTATCGAATACCTTAACAGTTTTCGTCACACTACGCAAAAACTTGTTATCTATCAGTTGGAACTTGTCTTCAGAATAAGAACAACTTAAATTGATGAAGTTATTGGTTTCGACAACGTGAACATACATGTTTGAAATGCGCACAACAATGACCTCAAGCATAACTACCGTTTTGTTTTCATTGATCAGTAAGTTTTTGTAATAGTTATATAAAAAGTAGTCTGAGCTAAGTTGCTGACAGTACTTAGCTGCTTCGTGTTTTTGATTCATGCGCTTTGTCATGGTTTCGAGTTGCTGCGCCAAAGTTCGAGGAAGCGAAGCTATTTGGAGCGCCGCAGCGAGTAAGCGGTGAACGATAATATCTGCGTACCGTCTAATAGGAGAAGTGAAATGCGTGTAAGAAGTGGTGGCAAGCGCATAATGGTAGTACTTAGTGGGATCCTTGACGCAAGTTGTAGATATGTATTTAGCGCGATTCATACAAAAAACCGTTATTTGACGTACTATGTGGTCGAGGTGAGGCCATTTTTTGGTTATGTAGTCCAAGCTTTCAGTTAATTCCTTGCTGTTGGAGCACTTAAACGTCACGCCAAGATTTTTCAGTAAAGTTTGCAGTTCTAATAATCTGTTGTCAATAGCATCAGGATGACAACGTAATAATGTACACTGAGGGAAACACTCCAACAGCTTTTGGGAAACACTTATGTTAGCTTGAAGCATGAATTCTTCAATGAGATTGTTAGTGTCCATGATCTCGTGGTTGTGGAAGGTTTTAATGCTTGCATACGAATCTTGGTCAAATTCAAATTCCAGTTGAACGCTTCGCAGTTCAAGCGCACCGCGGTTTTGCCGCGCCTTACGCCAAATTTTGGATATTTTCATTAAATCACGCAACCGAACACCGATGACTGACTCGTCGTTTTTGTCGATAAGCTCTTGTGCTTGTTTGTAATCGAGCGCTGCTACACTATGAATGATACTTTTGTGAAAGTTTGTAGAAACGATTTCTCCTGCTGGAGTGATTTCCCAGAATATTGAAAACGTTAATCTGTCTAGTCCTGATCTCAACGAGCACAAATCTGAAGAGAGTAAATTTGGAAGCATGTCTATACGTTTATTGATCATATACACTGTAGTACAGCGTTTTTGTGCTTCTCGGTCCAAATATGAATTAGGTTTAACAAAGTGAGATACATCGGCGATGTGGACTCCTACATGATAATTACCATTGGGTAAATAACGCAATGAAAGCGTGTCATCGATATCTACACAAGAAGGCGGATCGATAGAAAAAACCCAGCAGGCATACTGATTGTTCCCAACGTTTGGAAGTTCTAAACGAGGATTTTGCAAAAATCTGTTGCCTAGTGTGGAACCTTGTAATCTCTTATGCAAGTTAGCCAGCGGCTTCGGACTGTTCTTAGCCTTTAAATTGTAGCAGGGCGTTCCGTAATAGTTTTTATACCGCGCATCTACAGCTTCAAAGTTGCATCGATCACAAAAACAATTATTAAAACGTAAGTCGAGACGGTTTTCAAATTCGTCAGCTGGAATTGAGTAATTTTCGTTGGGCAACTCGTTTAAAGATAAACTGGAAAATGGAATTTCAGAAATATTGCCCTGGTGCAGAATAGCTTTGGTTTCCACGGCGAGCTCGCCTACGTTTCCGAGAATGTCAATACAGTGACCGGTGGGAAAGTAGGAATTAACGTCCCAACTTCCTACTCTGACTAAAATCCTTTTGTTGTATAATTTTTCTGCATTGGCAGAAGAAATAAAAACTAGTGGGAAACGACTATCGATTGGAATAAATTCGCAATAAGATTTGTTACCCACCAGAAGCTCGTTTTCTTGTCTTATTGTGCCACATAGAACGCTGTAATCATCGTCAACAATGGAAATAACGTGCCCATAAAGTTCGTCTTTAGGCAGCTGATAGTCATTAGGATCGTTTTGCAAATTTTCTATCAGCGTGTTCACGTCGAGCATATCTACATCACAGTGAATTTTTTTGTTTGTCTTTGCAGCAGCGTAACGGAAAATTTTATGTTCCGGTGAATTGTTTATAAGTTGAACATAAACGTTAGACCCGGAAAACGCTCTATTTACGTTTAAAGCGCCGACTATTTTAATGGAAACTGATTTTCCATAACTATTCGTGAAAATAAAGTTCCCAGTGTTCCAATGTACTTCAGCATGAAAAGTACCAGACACTATTTGCTTAGTCAACAAATTGGAACTAAGTAAAGCGGAAGTAGCGTGATTGAAATAATAAGCAATCTGTTGAGCGTTTGCAGCACTTGATTTTTTGTAGTCTTTTAAAGTTAACTCATAGTTAAAAGAAAGAGGACTGTACTCGTCTGCAAGGCAGAATTCAACGTTCCAGTTGTTGGAAGAAAGTATGAGATGTTGGAAATTTTTCCTATCTTCATCGTTAGCTCCTAAAACAAGAAAAGTTAAAGGCCTTATGTGACTAGACAGATAATCAAATATAGCGGTTAGCAATGAAGCGGAAACTCGAAATAATTCATACGCGGCATCAGCACATGAGGTTGAAACGTCAAACTTATAAGACGCGTCAATAATGTAAATTTTTGCCTTTTCACCAACCATAATGTTTTTAAAATTCTTAGCTAGCAAAATCGAGTTTTTTAAAAGGTGTTCTACTTTTGCCATAACCATAATCTGCTTATAGAGCAAGTTGTTGTTTGATTTTAAGTAATTGAGGAGTACGTCGAAAATTAGCAAGTTGTCCACGTAAGAACAACCTACAAGCCCATCCATATAGTTCAAATAACAATTGTAAGTCGGAACGACTATAGGCTTGGCTGCTGTTAAAAGTCGTGTTTTGCAGCTAGTCTGAGTGCAATTGAGAAACCCACAATCGATCGCTGAACGTAAATACTTTGAAACGAGTTTGTATCTGATTCCGTTTCTGAGGCCTGCTGACACGTCCAAATATGTCGTTAAGCGTTTGCTTTTAGCTTGATTAGACAAATGCAAGCTTTGATCTTCATTCGCCAATATTTCGTTTGCTCTCAGGTATTTTGCTGAATCTTTAGAGTAAAGTTCTGAAGGAGATTTCATCACATTTCAATTTTTAAGTACGTTTTTTGGCGACGTTCCGCGTTAACAAAATCAAGTGTTTTGGGTGAAAGCTAATAATAATAAATAATTTTCATGTTACAAAAAAATATTAACGAGTGACTATGTGAGATACCTAATTAATTCCGCGCTTGACGTACCCAATAGAAAGAGAAGGGAACCGTTTCTCCAAGTTTTCTTTTATTTGGGCCGCAGAGTTGTTGTCGACACAGTCAATGAAAATAATATTTTTATGTGCTACAGCCCGTGTTTTGATAAACCCAAGTTGATTTTCGATTTCGTTTTTGATCTTTTCTTCGCTTTCCAAACAGTTATCAATTACTAAAACGTTGCTTTGTATTATTCTCATTTTGTTTTTGGAACTCGCGTCATTGGAGAGCGGGATATTGAGGAGTCGTTTGTTGTCGGCTTGTGAATTAGTTGCGTTGTTGTAACTGTCAATTAAATGATTTAATTCGTTTTTAATAGACTCTTCTCGTTGACGAATGCTTAGCGGCTTCAGGTGTGGAGACTTTTCGACCTTGGGCAAGTTGTCTAAAGCTCGCAAAACGTTAGACTCGGTTCTAGCAAATTGACATTTGAGCGGTTGATCGAAAAATATGAGCCCAGGAAGTTCATTCACGGCTTGTTTAGCGCTGTCCAAATCTCTAAAGCTAATAAAGGCTTGTCCTTTCCGCCAGAAGCTCGACAAGCATTGAACATCAATTAAATTTCCGAATTTTTTACACAACTTTGTCAGTTCTTCTTTCAAAGTTGCTAAATCAATTGATTCTTTAATATTGGACAAGTATATAGTCCGGCATTCGCCAGGAGGATCAGATTTAGACAGGTCTTTGAATCTTTTATTGTTCTTTAATACATAATAGACAAGCAAAGCTATTTGATTAATAATCTGAGCATCACTCATAAATAAGTTTCATATTATGACACTATTCAAATCTAATTGCGTTGCGACAAAGAGCTAAAAATTTATTAAAATTAAAAAATTTACTACAAATAATATTCGAATTAATGGATGCAAGTTTATCTGATAAAGTAACTTTTGAAAGCGATTCCGATAATATTGACAGTTTTGAGGATGATAATAATATCATTATAGGCACACCTGATTTAGTTTCCATTATAGAGAACGACAAACAGTGTGATTTGCCTGGTATTTATGCGTTGGCATGTAATTCGCTGTATACAGCGTATGGAGGAGGAACAGAAGTTTTGCAAATAATTGAAAACAGAGCACTCTCACTAGTTTTTGATGCTGATCACGATTCTTCGAAACTAAAAACGTGGGCTTTCCAACACGATGAGACGATTTGTTTTATACACTTCGCTAAAGACTGTAGCATTTTGTTCACCATAGAGACAAACGCAAAAATTCACATTTATAAGCAGCAAGAAGACCATTCTTATAGTTTGAGCGCAGTACATGATGACCTCGATACTGATGTTTACGGCGTGACGGTCAGCCAAGATGAACGGTACTTTACTGTATATTGTGTTAACGGGCACGTAGCGCTGTACGGTGTTGAAGAAGGCTACTTATATTCGTGTTGCATCAGCAACAACTGCGTCATTTCGTGCGATATTTTATCACACGATAATATACCTGAAGAATTTATCGTCATTTTCTGTGACGAGTTTGGTCATCTTGTCAAGTACGACTTCGTCAGTAATCAAGTTTTATTTTCTAAAAATATCACTCAGCACCTCCAATCTGAATACCAAAACGTCACGTCTACGCTTTTGTCTTTGAATAAAAAAGCTCTTCTCGTTGGTACGGAAGTAGGAAAAATTTTGATTTGCAACTGTTCAAATGGAGAAGTTGTCAATACTATTGATGTAAACTCCGGGCTTGCTATTCATCATATCCGCCGGATTCAGTCAGATGATAATATTCTAGTTGCTATAGACAAAATGGGAGATATACATATTTTACAAAATTTCAAATTAAGACAGAAATTAATGTACGACCCTGACAATGCCGTTGAAATATCGCAAGTCGCAATTTTCGATAATTACATTGCTGTAGCCGGTATTGATACGTGCATCAAAGTATACGACTGGCGTTCGGGTGCTTTTATTACAATGGATGAAAACGAACACATAATTAACAATATGGAAGTTCTGAAGCAGGATAACAAAACTTATCTAGTTACAGGAGACGAAAATGGAGATGTTAAGGTTTGGAACGTCTTCCAGAAATAAAACCCGTTTCTTATCATTCTATGCGCAGTTCATTTAACAAGGAGACTAGATCTATGTCATTTTCGTTTTCGTTGTCGTCTGATAATTCTTCTGGGTTTTCGTCAATGTTGTGTTGAATGAGTTGTTTGTGTTGGTGAGACAAGTTAGCAGCCTTGAACCATTTCTTAACTTTATTTATGGACTGCCTCTTTACAATGATTACTTTGAAGTCAAACTTTTCCAAGTAGTCTACCAATTCTTTATCGTCGTCGTTGATGTTGCATAGTTCCAAGTCAAAACCGCGGAAAATAAACCCTGAGTAAAGATTTTTCTCAGAGTAATAGTTGGTACATATGACCCTGTGCTCACCTTGGAGTTGTGATAATGGCAAGACTTCTAAGCGGTATAATTTTATTTCTTGTGCTGGGGCACTTTGTGTATTGTTTTCCAAAACTGAAAGCTTGGGTTTTTCTGGTTTAACATAAGTATCGAGCTCTGCGTTTACCACAAAGTAGTCAAACATCTGTGAAGATGCTAGTAACAGAGTTGGCTGATGGCGCCAATACTTGTCGCTGTTCAAAGTGATGCTGTTGCCAGAAATAGGGTCAAAGAAATCAACGGTAGCGCCAACTTTCGAGCACACCATTATTTGTGGAATTCCTCCGAGAGCTATCGAACTTTTTTTATCGAAAAATACCAAATCGAACCTGGAAACCTGTGGCAAGGTGATAAGAGTGACGTATTTTTTGTGACATGTGTTGCTTTTGGCATCGTGACTGACAAGCTGGGTTGAAGTCGCGGAAACTTTGGAAGCTATTTGCGATTTCACGTACGAGATAAAATGCCTAGCGTCTTGCTGTTTGCTGAAGTTGAAATTGAGACCTTCCAAAGTGTCGTCTATGCTGTTAGCACCTAAGTGCATTTGATCTTTCAATATTAATTTTTCAAGCAAGAACAAGTTCTTTCGGTCGTTTACCGAGTTGTTTTTGTCGGCGTGGTAAACTTTTTTTTTCAAAAGTCTGCAACGCTGACGTACCTGAACTTGATGGATCCAAAGGTGTGGAGTGACACTTTTCATGCATTCCACGCACTGCTTGTTTTTGACGAAAAACTCAATTGTTAGATATTGTCTAATTGCGGTGTTGTTCAAGTCCTTTTCAACGCCAATTTTAATTTTTAATCGACGACAGTGCGGCTCTGTCCAAATCCACTCACTACTGACAAGACGGCAGTCCTTCGGAATATTTATTTTGTGAAGACACAAAGCAAGAAGTTCTTTGCTTTCTAATTTGCACTGAACAAATTTATTTCGGTGTTCATACCTTTCACAGCTTCGACACACATACACAGTGTTTTGAGTGTCAATTAGTAAATTAAGACTCGATTCGAGTCTAAAGCAATTGCTGCAAAGTCTAGTTTCGTTTGGAGGGCAAAGCACTCCGCATTTGTAACACGCAATTGAATGGTTGTACCCATTGTTGTTCTGGCTGTTATTTATTTTTAATAATTCCAAAACTCCTTGAACTTGGGGGGAACTTTCATTGTAACCCAGTTTTTGTAGTTTTTCTAGTCTTTCGTACAGTTGTTCATTTGCAAAATTCATAATTTGAAGTAAAGAGCAGCAAAATTTATTAGCACGGAAGAGAACCAATAAATTTTTTTTTATTTCATTTATTTAGCAAAAAAAAAATGTCAGAAATATTTTTCGCAATTAGAGGCTTTTTTGTAGTTCGATTAAAATATTTACTAGTATGTAATTTAATTTTATGTTGATAAGCCATGAGATCGATTATACAATATGCGAAAAACGTGTAGGAAAAGTTTCCTGTATAGAGGCTGATGATGAGTTTGTTTTGCTCGGTACACACTACGGTTACGTTTTGATTATTGAGAAAAAACGTCTCCTTTTATCGGATAATATTCAATTTTTCAAGCGATGTAGACTTCTTCTAGATTCGTATAAAGATTTTTACGAAACCACAAATCTTACAGTTACAAAATTGGCGCTTGTGAATGCTACGAAAACACAACTCATTATCGCTATTGTTCATAAAAATGAATATATTAGATTTATGAAATTAACTCTTGTGGATCCAGGTAAAACTGAAAAACTCGCGGAGCCCGGAGAAAATATCGCATGGCTGAATTCTAGTTTTGATGGCGGGAGCGTTTGCTCTACACTTTATGTTTATCATTTCTATTTTATCGCTCTGTGCAACTTTACTAACAAGGGCGCTACTTTATTTTATTTAGACGTGGATCTTAACAAAGTTAAAGTTATTGGTCTGAATTTTACAGAATTCGATCTTGACGAAATAGATTTTACGTCCGACCTAGGTTTCATCAAGCAGATCGACAATAAGATCGCAGTGCTGGCAAAAACAGTCTTAACTCTTTTTGACCTGAAGTTAAATCGCGATTCTTCACGAAGAATTGCGTTGAAAGAGCTTGTTGAACAATACTTAGAAAACGAATTAATGTATTCTATTACCAGTGACAACAAAATAATCATACTTGACGAAACTGAAAAAACAAAACAGTCTTCGAGTATAAAATTGTGGAATTTTGCCACTACCAATATGTTTCGATTAATAGAAAACGTTTTTTTAATTAGGCTCGACAGCTTTTTCGTTGTGCTTAGCTTGAACGCCCAGTGTGAAAAAATTTTGAATATTTCAAAAATAAGTGCTGAAGATATCACTGTAATCAACAACTGTATGTTGCTGATATCCTCTTTATATTTGCAAAAGATATTTTTCAATAATTCGTCAGTACCCAGTTTCGCTACAAGCATTAAGTTTCGCGAGACTAGTAGCACCGAGCAGATAGATTCGTATCGTGCTAAGTTCTATGCCTTAAGCGACAACAGACTCTTATTATTTTTTGCCAACAAACTTTTTATATTTAAGATTTATCACTTTTTCGAAACTTTTATTGAAAACACTACTGTAATTGGTTCTGCCAAGTCACTTTCTGTAAAGGAAAATTTTACAATACTTCACAAATTGACGTTTTTGCTTGAACTTTTGTACGAATATTTAAACGAAAATGTAGTTCAGACCGACGCCAGTCCAGTGCAGTTACAGTTGCTATTAGTTCAAAGTCTCTCGGACTTGCTTTCGTACTATTCGCGTGTTTTGATGAACAGATTAAACGACCACGTCTTCTTAACCAAATTTAATTTTTCTACATCTCCACACGAGATAAACTATGAGTGTTCATTCTCTACAATATTGACTGATCTTATGAAAGTGGTTTATTTCATCACGTCTATCTTTATAAAAGTGAATCTTGTCAAGAAATTTATTGAGCTGCGTGAACTGTTTTCAAGAAATGGTTATCTTTTTTTATCAATATTTGATCTGATAATCTATTTTCAATGTACCTATACAAGACGGCTTGAATTAATAGAAGATTATATGATGCTTAAAGAACACTTAAACTTATTAATTGTACTAACTTCGGAAACCCCAAAAGAAGTTTTATCTTTGGCAAACGAGCGTAATTTTATCGATGAAGAAATGGATTCCGTTTGTTTCTCGCCTCTTACGAACATACAAAAAATCGACGAAATTTCAGATGTTTCTTTTCCGTCCTTTTTATCGTCACAAATATCTACGCCAATCGCTAAAAAGAATTTGGATGATGAAGCTCCTAAGACATTCAGTTTTGATGTCAAAACTATGCAAAATATGAGTAGCAACTCGAGCGTTGCAGATCTTAATGATTGTTTAGACTTCAACTGTTCCGCGCAGTTTGAATCTCAATCGGCAAAATCCGTCCAAAGTAAGCATTTAAAAGATCCAGACTGTATGATATGCGGTACACTCGAACTATTAAATATCAAAAAAAAAAATTTTATCACGAACTTGCATTTGAAACATCTGCTTGAACTGAACTACTCTTTAAAAACTAATTTAGCATGTTCTGACTGTATTTA